TGAGAATTAGTCAATTGGTAGTAAAGGCTTTTAATCCTAAAGATGTAGACTCACCTTTTACCTTAGTTTTAATTATCCTGCTTGCCCAGATGGTGGTATGTTTTTTCAACAAAAGTGACCTCTCTATATTGCAACAATTTATTTGAATGCCATTCTTATGTATTTTTAACAAATAACTTCACTACTCACTCTCTTATGTTTTTGATTCCTTTTACTACTTATCATCTTCTTTATTTGAAACAGATTTTTAACAGATAATCTTGGTCTTACAACAATATCTTGCTTGCATTTTATTCAAATAATTCTTAAAAACAGCTTAAAAAGCCGTTTGGAATAACATCAAGCTTGCCATCAATCAAACGAAAAAATTCCGCTGGCGGTTGTATAAACATCAGATCAAGTCTGATGTCTTCAAGGATTTCAGAGTGAACCATAAAAAACTCCATTAACTTCTGACAAAGAATGCAAATTAATCACAACATGGGGTGAAATGAAATTAAAGGCTCTTTTCTAATCAATGACAAGGCAGGATGAAATATTTGTTACTCTCTCTGCACCCAGACTGCCTAGGATGTTTGCACTTCCTTTGCAAAGCCCCAAATGTAAGGTGTGACTACAGATTCACCCACAGTCGCTGCTTAGCCCTCCCATCACCCCCCCAGAGCTATCTGCTTACAAGTCGTGGAGATTCACAAAACACACTAATCATCTGAATCTCAGGTGCATCCAATTTGTTATTCACACTCTCCCATGCCAGTGAAAAGCCTGGCGCAGACAGATGCACCAGGAACCCTAAATGACAGTTTGGCCTCCGGAAGTATGATCACTACAGCAAAATCTAGTACAGCCTCCAGGTGAAATGTCTGGAGCTCCATATGGAGCAGGGAAAATTAACAACAAGATGAAAATCACTGCAGCAGCGGGGAGTCGGAATTTTTGAAAAAAAAATTTAAAGATGAAGAAAGAGAAGTAATAAATTAATGGGGTGTGAAAACATTCAAAGCTTTACAATACCAGGGGCACTATTTGCTCAGATTTTTTTTTCCTTTTTTTAACTTCAGGTCATTTTGATGTAATTTATTAACCAAGATCAGGAAATATCGCCAAAAGAAGAACATTTTTATTCATGCAAAAGTACTTTAAATACATTTGTATCTGTATTATCTTACTTTCCTGTGGCATCTTGCTTACCAAATTTCCAAATGCCAGAGCTGGCGTATCCCCTGAGAAGTCTCCTTAATGGATTGACTATCATTCTAATGCAGGGAACTACTGTAAAGTTTGAATGAGGGACGATGATTTTTAGCGTGCAATCTTTTTTATTTCTCCTAAATTATGGTGTCATTAAACAAACCATTGCCCACCATCATGTTTTTTAAGTCAACTGAATTCAGATCTACATGATTAACTACACACAGCTCCAGTCCTTGTCCAGACCTGCACATCTTACCAGATTACTATTAAAGCTAAATTGTTCAAGAAATTGAGATACTCTCTGCTTGCAGGATGCTTAAAACACAATTTTTCATTGTCCTATTGCAGAATAAGCTTCCCAGGCACCAAGAACCGAATGGTACTGGGGTCAGTTAGAGCTCTGGGGCCCTCTGGTCCTCCTGTCACTCTGCTAAACACATGGTAAGAAAGCACAAGGGCTCTGGGGAATGGTCTTGTCATCGCCTACAATGGCACACCCCTCCCATGTTCAGAACTTTTCATCTACACAAGAGGCCTCTCTAGGGCAGAGGGAGAAACCAAGAGAAGTGAAAGGCTTGGTGGGGCTGAGGGCGAAGAGCAGTGGTACAAAGAGCCACCCAAGTTCAGAGTACACAGAGCCAGTCCTTCGGTCTCTGCCTGCAAACCCTGACCCAGCTGTACCCATTCATCACGCAGGCAATGGGTGCTGCCTCTCTGAGCCTGTCTGCTCCTCTGGAGGCAGGGAGTAACGGTCCCTGCAGGGTGGATGCACAGCCAGTCAGATACCAGAAAGTGTCTGGACTCCATGTGGAAAAGTGCTAGAAGATGAACCTAAGACATCGCCATTCCTAGTATACGCTATAGTAATAAGACTGCATTTTTAGTGGTTCTTTGCCCTTTTTTTCTATAGCATCCTGCATTGTATGCCAATGAGGCTATGCAACTTTAAGACCTAAAGGAAACGAAAATGGATAGTATTTTCAAATACCAAATAAAAACCCAACCTACAAAACAATGTAATTCATATAAAATGATTATTTCAGCAAAAATCCAGTCCTTTAACCTTTATGTTGGTCCCACGGACTCTCCTAGATATCTTCCCAGCACCCCTCTCTTGGCTGCATCCCCACTGGGTATACACGGTGTCGCCGGTGTCACCGTCACCAGCAGGAAGAGGCGCTGCTAATGACGCTGTCAGCAGCACTGACGCTGGGCTGGGGGAAGGAAGAGTCTGAAGTAGCTTCTCCTCCCCACTTTCACCTCTGCTCATTGGATGCTGGGCGCCAGTTGTGGCTGGCGCGTTGCTGAGCACATCCTATTGCAACCTTCAGATTGACAATCAGAAGTTTGTGTTACAGCCCAACATCAAGGCCAGTGGGGTGGCCCTTTGTACTTTTCTGAGTGGTTTTATATCCTTCTCATTTGATCTGCAGACTTCCTTTAATCAGATAAGAAAGGGGTAACAAATGGGAGGCAGTCCCCAGCTCGATAAATAGAACGCTGCTTTGACTCTATGGCTGCTTTGGAAAGAAGTGAGTTTCCTATCTCTGGGGGTATTCAAGCACAGTGTGGATGTTTGCTTTTCAGATATTGTAGAGAGGTTTGACTCAATGATGTCTAAGATCCCCTCCAATTCTGAGACTACTCCATTTGGGATCCAATGGCACCAAACCACCTGCAGTTCCATAGTGAGAAACCAGCCATTCTGCTTGCCCAATATATGAGGGGAAGCTATCTCAGAGTGGTGGGGGTTCCAATGAGGTAATACGGGCCAAAGAGAAGGTATTATTTAATAATCCAGTCTCTGTGACACTATAAAAACAAACACTTTTCTTCAAGTGCTTTGAGGGCAAAAGAGAGGGGGCACAAAAGAAATTTATCAAGTACTCTTTCTCCACCTTCAGTCTATAGCATAAAGCCTGTAAAATAAATACCAACTTTATCAAAAGTCAGTATTGATTCTAGCAATGAAGCACACAAACTTCTGTTGAAAAACCTGGGAAATAGGCCTGATGGTATCAAAGCTGCTCCTATTATTTGAAGCAAAAGTCCCAATTTGGTGGCAATATTCTACTGTGATTCAAGGAGCACAGTCCCCCTCCCCCTGCCCCCTCTCCCCACTCTGGCATAAAGGTTATTGCTAACTAAGGAGTTCAGCACATCAGAATTTTCCAACTTCCACTTGACTGATCAAGTAAACATATACTTACTTAGACATTCAGGAAAACAGTATTGCAAGGGGATACAGCCTCCTCCCAACTCTGACCAGAGCTTTCAAATGCTTCATTGGTCACATGCAATGGCAACCCGTCTCTTAGACCTATCACCCAGTCTCAGATTAATTACCTGAGACATTTGGTATCTCAAGAGTAGAGCTACAGTCTCAATCTTTGGCATTTTTATTACTTACAAGTTTTCTACTACGACTTGTCTGAGATAGTGTATATGACCTCCTGTCTTGATTTAGTACAAAATTTTAGGGGACTTCACAAATTGGCCAAACAGCGAATTGTTTAAAAATTAGTGACACAATAAGAAGCTTACCGAGATAAATATTCTAATGAGCTATAAATCCTGAAAATGTGACTTTAATTTGATGGGCTACCTAGAGCTAAGCAGCCGGCTCTATACACTACAATCTCACCAAATGCGACACGCATGCCAACAATCGTGACATTTCCGGCTTTCTCTTTAAGGAAAAGATTATGTTTAAACAAAGAAGCCTATAAATGTGAAAAGTGAGACTAACATTCTTGAACCTAACAGCTTCTCTTCGACTTCTCTAATGGCTTTAACTGTAAAAGAAAAAGAATACAAAACAGAAATTTCAGCAAGTGAAGGGTCTTTAAATGTCTACATGGGTACCAGGAGAATTTGCTTAAAACCACTTAAAAAGATGGTAGAGAGAATGAATCCCATCCTATTATTCAATAACCATGTTTGTGATGCATCTGCATAATCTAACCATGCATAAATTAGTATGTGTAATACAACACTTATTTGCATAATAATAGCAAGTTAATAGATGCTTAAAGAGCAGAGACCAACACCACCTTTAAATCAGACATGCCTCCAGGCACTTTGGCCTGTACAGACCAAGATGCCAGAAAAACAGTGAGCAGCAACCAGAGGAAAACAGTCAAACCATTCATTTTTCATCCCTCTAGACATTTCACTTATTTCTCCACATACACTGGGGAATCATTTTCAAACCACAAAATAGCTTTATATTTTAAGTGCTAGCACTCATCTTTAATAAAAATCTTAAAGAAATTTAAAGGTTATCACCAGGAATGTTAATATAATGGATAGTTTGTTTTCTTAGAAATGTGAATAGGAAAGGACAAAACATTTAAAAATATGTTCAAAATCATACCCACATAAAATCGGGGGCCCACCTATTTGCTTAACAAAAATGAGGACCGATTTAGGTATTTTTACCTTTCATCTCAATCCTTTAATTCAAATAATTTTAATGAATCCAAAAGCTCAAGAAAAGGCTGTGCCTCTCCCCAACCTCAATATAAGCATGTGGTACTGGGTTAGGATAAGGGAAAACATCACTAATATCACACAAAGGAAGAGCACGATGATGGCTTTCAACCTTTAACAAAGAGAAAAAATCTGGAGTTTAAAAAAAATCAAAAATCAATAGAGACTTCTAAATGACTCCTTTAAGATATCACTTTTCAATTTAACAGGACAGATTTATTTGTATGTGGCTCCAATGTTCACCATTGCTCCCCGCACCTTCATACATAGGAATGAATGTCACAGTGGCAAACGGCAGTAATGAACAATCTTACCTGAGGATATGGAAACCTCCCAAGAGCAAGCTGGGAAAGGAAATAATATTTGTCTAGTTATAGATTTGCATGCAGGGCAGATCTCCTTAAGACAGACAAGTGTTAAATTTTAGAATTGCATCTAGCAAATATAAAAAGCTCAAAACCACAAATGCACGAATTAAATTATTACTGTAATTACATTAAGAGTTATATTTAGAACGAACATTTTCAATGGACAATGTTACATCCCTAATAAAATATCCAAATTTTAACGACAAAACATTATCCTTACTGGATGAAAGAAGGTGAACAGATTAGCCAAACAACATACAACATATATGCATAACCCATAGACACAGACAACAGTGTGAAGATGGCCAGAGGGAATGGGGTGGGGGTGGGGGGGTGGCTGGGACAAGGTAGAAGGGGGAGCAGGGACTAGGTAAAGGAGGGGAAATGGGGACATCTGTAATAGCATCAACAACAAAAATAAAGTTAAAAAATAATCAGCATGTAAATAAAAACTGGATGCAGAGTAATATCTTACCAAGTTAGCAAAGTGTTTATTTTTATTTTTTTTGCTAAGTGTTTATTTTAATGAGCATATTTAATGGCATACAATTATCCTTATGTGGTTTATCTTAGGAATATTCTCAGCTATATGGGCATTATTCATATTTATATGTGTGTGACAGTTTCTTCTAAGCAGAGATACAAAACTATAAAAAGAAACTGTTGGTTTTTCTTCTTGTAAAAGGGAAACACCTAATTGTTCCTACCCCACAGCACTTGAGTTTTAATTGCAAGTATACAGAGAGGACGGGTTGTGGGAAATGGTAAAGTAAATATGAAATAGAAAATTTTGCCATTATTTTAATTTATTTATTAGATTTTTCATCCGTTTTCTATCCATAGTTAGAAGAAAAGAGCTACTTCTAGTGGGAAAATGGCCAATTGAGACTGAAGTGGGAACTACAGGTCTAAGTCTAACACTATGAAAGTGAATCCTTAGAGCCACCACAATTTTGCTTGATTTGTAAACTGCTCTGTGTTTCTAGACCAGTCACTTAATTTTGGTCTTTGGATCCTCACCTGTAAAAACAAAATGACTGGACTGGTAGTAATAGGATTGATATAAAGTAACAAGATAAAATTTACCAAATATATCATAACTTATTTAAAAAAAATAGTGGCAACATTTTGCATAATGTGGCCCATCCTCAGGCCTAAAATCCTTTATATGTATTTGTAACTACTAAGCAGAATCGCTACATCAGGGAACTTGGAAGCTGGACTGGATCTAAGAAAGTATCAATCCATTTTGCAGATTAGAGCCCCAGAGTCCCACTGAAGAAGTCTGAACACAGTTTACCAGAAGCCAAGGAACTGACCCCCAAACCTGCAACTTGATCCAGTGTTCTTTCCAGTGCACACTGCTTTTTAGATCTCGATAAATTGTACTTTTATTTCAGAGACACTGACACTGCTAAACTTTTTTAAACTCTTCTTTTTGGACTCAGGTTTAGAATCTTTTCAAATAACAGAAGAACACTTACCTCATTTTATTAGAATTGCATCTAACAAAACTGGATGATCAAAAAGCTGAGGGGTGTAATTTTAAGTCCAATTATAATTACTGCTGTGTGTTTCTAGACCACTTTTTGGTCTTATATAGGTTTCCGGTGTACAATTCTATAACACATCATTTGTATATTATATTTTGTGTTCACCACGCCAAGTCAAGTCTCCTTCCATCACCATTTAACCCCCTTTTACCTTCTCTACCTCCCCCTAACTTCCTTTCCCTCTGGTGATCAGTCTGTGTCTGAGTTGTGTGGTTTTTATTTTTATAAATTTTTTTTTATTGATTTTAGAGAGAGGAAAGGTGAGGGAGAGAGAGATAGAAACATCAATGATGAGAGAGAATCATTGATTGGATGCCTCCTGCATGCCCCACACTGGGGATTGAGTCAGCAAACCTGTGTCTTTTGATCTTTTTTTCTCTCTTGGCTGACTTCCTCATTTTTTTGGGTGTGTGTTGTTTTTTTTTTTTTTTGTTTTGTTTTGCTTAATCTCTTCACCTTTTTCACCCACCCCGCAACTCCTCAGGCCCTCTGAAAGCTGTCAGTCTGTTCTCTGTATCTATGAGTCTATTTCTATTTTGTTTGTTAGTTTATTTTGTTCATTAGATTCCACATATAGGTGAAATCATATGGTACTTGCCTTTTTCTGACTGGATTATTTCATATAATATAATACCCTCCAGGTCCATCCATGCTGTTGCAAAAAGTAAGATTTCCTTCTTCTTCTTCTTCTTCTTTTTTTTTTTTTTACAACCAAGTAGTATTCCATTGTGTAAAGGTACCACAGCTTTTTTTATTCTCTCATCTACTGATGGGCACTTGGGCTGCTTCCAAATCTTGGCTATTGTAAATAGTGCTGCAATGAACATAGTGTGCACCTAACTCCATTTTCAAAGAATAAATATTTTGTTCCTTACTAAGGATAGACACAAAGGTACTAAGATTAATTTTCAAAGCTCTAAAACCAGTTTGAGCAACAATACTGTTATAGGAACAAACCATATAGCTATGTAAGGTGACTACTTTGAAAGGGCCAACACTCATTTGGATGTGTGTGTGTGTGTGTGTGTGTGTATACTAGAGGCCTGGTGCACAAAATTCATGCGGGGGGGGGGGTTGGGGGGGGGGGGGGGGGCCCTCAGCCCAGCCTGCATCCTATCCAATCTGGGGGATGTCCAACTGCCGGTTTAGGCCCAATCCCAATGCCCTCCCCTGCGGCCTGATGGCCCCCAACTGCCCTCCCCTGCCGACCTGGTGCCCCCCAACTGCCCTCCCCTGCCGGCCTGGGCCCCCCTACTGCTCTCCCTTGCAGGCCTGGTTGCCCCCAACTGCCTCCCCTGCTGGCCTGTTTGCCCTCAACTGCCCTCCCCTGCTGGCCTGTTCGCCCCCAACTGCCCTCCCCTGTGCCCCCGCCTGGCCCCTCCTGCCTGTGCCAATGCCACCTGGCTTTTATTATATAGGATACACACATACTAGGGTCCCAGTGCACGAATTTGTGTACCTTGAAAGGAGCTGTGGGCCGAGAGGCTGCGGTGGGCACAAAGGTGGGTCTTGGCCCATCCTCCATGCCCCCGCCTGGCCCCTCCTGCCGCAGGCCCTTGTCCCACATCTGCCAGAAGCCCCACTCCCACTGCTACCACTTCCACGCGCCGACAGTGCCAGCCATGCTCGCACCCTCTGGCGGTGTGGCGCCAGCAGTGGATGCGAGCAGGACTGGTGCCGTCAGCAGGTGCGAGCGGCGGCTGCTGCCCCGATCACCCCTCAGGAGCAGGGGGAGGTGGAGAAGCCCGCAGGGGTGATCGGGGCTGGCAGCCACTGCTCATACCTGCTGACAGTGCTGAGCAATCGGGGCGGGCGCTGGGTTCTAGGCACCAGCAGTGGGTGCGAATGGGGCCGGTGCCTGCAGCAGGTGTGAGTGCTGTGTGGGACTGTGGAATGTGGGAGCAGCCGGCGCTGGGTGCCAGGCACCAGCAGTGGGTGCGAACGGGGCCGGTGCCTGCAGCAGGTGCGAGTGCTGTGTGGGACTGTGGAATGTGGGAGCAGATAATTTTCAATAACCGCCAGAGGCTCACCCTGATGACAGCGACTGGCGCCCCGCCTTGGTCTGGCGCCCCTGCTCACCTGCTCCACCATCCGGTCACAGCCGATGCCCACCATGTTCCACGCACGCCCCCTGGTGGTCAGCACACATCATAGCGACCGGTTGTTCGGTTGTTTCGCGGTTCAGTCTATTTTCATATTAGCCTTTTATTATATAGGATATGGAATACCTGATACACTTCATTACCTTGTACTCATTTCTTGTATAGTCAGAGTTCATTGACTTTCAAGATATAAAGTTATAATGTTTTTATTTGCTGGATATCATTAATCCCTTCAAGTATTCATAACAAAAACATCACAAGATGGGGTGAAGGAAAGAGAAAGTGAATGTTAACTAAACTCCTTTTGTGTGATTGTGTTTATTGTGTTTATACTGTTATTACTTAGGAAGGGGAGGGACTCAGTTCTCCACTGTTCCCACTCCACCCCCATCTAATACAGGCCATTGATTTGCTTTATTTTGTAAAGACAGTGTTGCAGGCTAACGAGAGTGTGCCCATTGATTCAGGAGGAGTCACTATGGTCTACTGTGGTGGTGATGGGTGGAGTAGGCATTTGAACCATTCTGTACTGAACTGACAGGCAGTGACCACTCATTAAAAGCTGTCACCTATCATTATACTCATCTGTGGACTATGAGTTTTACATATTCTTACATTTGGAGTTAGAAAACTACCAAGAGGAGAGTCTCTCATTTAAAAAGCTGACAGCTTCCTAACTACTGGAAAACATTAGAACATTCTATCTCCAGCCTTCCTTCGAATGCTGTGCTATTTAAAAAAATATTTTTATTGATTTCAGAGAGGAAGGGAGAGGGAGAGAGAAATATCAATGATGAAAGGGAATACTGATTGGCTGCCTCTTTCATGCCACCTAATGGGGCTAGAGCCTCAAATCTGGGCATGTGCCCATAACCGGAATTGAACCTGGGACCCTTCAGTCCACAGGCTGATGCTCTATCCACTGAGCCAAACCGACTAGGGCCAGATGCTGTGCCATTTACCTGGGTCCATGTTGAACACAATCATTAGGGTCTATGGAAGCACTCTACCCACTTGGCTTACCAGCAGAAGAAATGTGCCCACCATACAATATGTAAGATTTAAAGTAGCTGGCAGGTGCCAGACTGGCCACTGGTTCTTGCAATTCAAAGAACTAAGCAGTAATAAATGAAAGGTTTTTTTTTTTAAATGAGTGGGATATGGTAAAAATGTAAATTTTTCCCATTTTAACACAAAACCTCAAATTCTCAAGTCACCACCGTTCTATGGAGAACCATGATACGGCGGACTTGTGTCTACCTGGGCCCCTCTATCACAACTGGTATAAGGCAATAAAGATGGCTGATGACTTTCATTTACT